CTCAAACTCATTCAACTATATTTTTCTTTTTTTTTTCTTTAACTCCCTTAAGATTAAAGTTTAATTCATTCACAGCCCAAAATGCTTAATATTCTAATTATTAGGAAGGTGATAAGCTTTTTCAAAGCTTAACTGATAGGGAGACATTCAAATAGGTGTTTTAAAAGTAATTATATAGGTCCATAATGCATCATCTAATTTAATAGCCCAATCTTTCTTATTAAAACTTATAATTTTTTTTTTAAAATTCTTTTTATCTCCTTTTTACTTATTTCAGTCTGGCCACTACTTTGTTCAACTTCCTATAGTCTATAAAAATTTTCTAACTAGTGATTAGTCTAGTAGGGATAAGCTCATTCAACTCATTGGATATTATAGTCAAACCACCCTTTTTAGCAATACAATGAATATGACTCACCCAAGCACTATCTATAATATGATATGTAGTACCTTCATCCAACCATTTAAGTATTATTTTAACATTCATCTACAAATCTCTCTCTAATTATCCCATCAGTTTCTCCAATAAATTGAACATATTCTCCTAATTCCTCGTAGCTTTTCTCCAAATTTTCCTCCAATGAATTTGTCATTATCAAATATTCCTTAAAGTAATTAATAACATTTTCTTCCAAATCAGCTCTAAAATATCCTAATAATTGCACTTTTGCTGCCATTCAGCTGTCCTTTTGCTACGTTGTAGCAAATACTCGGCAAAAAGTAGCAATAGTGCAATTATGAATGCATATTTACTGCCATTTTGCTGAGTATTTATAAGAGCGCAACAAAAAGGCATTTAAAGCGCAACAAATAAGGACAGTTGTCCCCGTCCGATCTCCGCACATAATAAATTCTCCAAACGTAGAGCCTGCCCGCTATTGGAGATGGCAAATATCAGGGAAAAGATACATCGGGTTGGTTTCCCATTCAATTCAAGCTGTTTGATTGAATTTCCAAATTTGTGAATAGATTTGAATTGATGGAAAAAGTGAATGGAGGCTTATCTTAGAGCAATTGGGTTAAAATTTTAAGATTGGACTAAAATTAGGTCTGAATCAAACTCAATTTGACAAGATATGAATCGATTTGGGTCTAATTTCATCTTATTATATTAATATAATGAAATTATACTCAAATCTTCATATATTCAACCCAAATTGGGCTTGACAGGGCTATACCGAGTCGATCGAGCTTGATCGATCCCACTCAACTCCAAATTCGGCTCAATCGAAGGGATATAAGCATGTTCAAGGTGATAAGCATGCAAAAAATGAGGTCAATATTAGTGAGGACATTTCCTAAGCATTTTCTTAAATCTCTCTCAACTCTTAAAACTTGATTCTTCTTCAAACTGAGTAAAATAAGTGATATTATTTCCATATTTAGCAGTCTTTCAAGGTGGGAGATACTTAGCAAGAAATTTATTATCTAATTTATTCCAAGTGGTTATAGACTTAAGGGTAAAGAATTCAACAACATCATAATTCTATCTCTTAGAAAAAATGAGGACAATTTAAGTATAATAATATCATCACTAACACTATTATACTTAAATATTGTACAAATTCTTAAGAAACTGGCTAAGAAAATTAGGATCTTCAATATAAGTTCCCCCAAATGGAGTTGAAATTGAGTTGAAGTGCTCAGTTTTAAGATTGGAACTGAAGTTTTGTGGGATTGTTAATCCGTTTGCTGTGAGAATTGGCTTCTCTGTTGTTGGAGCAGGAGTTATTACATTGTTTCCTTTGTTTGGATCGTCCAAGGAAGCTTGGTTGGGTCTTCCTAGACGCATTGGTGATGGTTTTTTGGTGGGATCATATCCCATCAAAGCCAACGAATGTTACTGCTTTGATATTTGAAGATTAATTCATGATTTTTGAATACTTGAAGGGAGTGGAGATTTCAGGATTCTTGTCTGCCAGTGTATTGACTGCGATGATGAGTTTTAAAATATTTGCTATTTGTAGTGACGAGGTGGCTGTTTGGCCTCTCGGTTTGAGGTTAACAACTTTGGGTATTTGCATTATGATTAGAGTAATGAAAGTTGAGACTCTTTCTAGTTATCATTTCTTATATGCTTGAAAATTTTGGGAAACTAACCAACCGTTTTGGTTGTCAACAAAATTTGGTGTCCCCAACACCCTGGTTCAAAGTTAGGAGTAGTGGATCTTATTTTCAATGTCTTTTTTATTTTGCAAAAATGTTTTTCTTATGCTTAGTTTGCTTTTCTTTAGTGCTTCTTTTCCCATGTTACGAAATGAAAGTTTTTTTAGCTTTATTTTCTTTTTAGCTTGCAATAGTTTTTTTCCTAGTTTAATGCAAATTTGCATCTCTTTAAAAATAAATAAATAAATAAAAATAAAAAAAAAAATTTTTTGAACCATTTAAATTAATGCGGGTTTTAATTAAAAATTATTAGCTTGGACTTAAGGTCTATTAATATTTTGATGAGCTCCATCTACTAAAGAGTTAGCATAATCCCTAAGAGATCAAGATTAATCTTAATCTAATGCAAGTTCAACCATCTTCTTTAACTTTTTAGGTTTTTTTAATTTTTGAAAGAGTTTTTTCTATTTCAGCTTCAAACAAAAAAGGTTTTTTTTCTTTGTCTATAAAGCATGCAACCATGAATATACAATTAGCAAGTAAAATAAAATAAAATATACAATAAGTCTAATTATGCAACCATTTTAATAATATATTTAAAATTTGTAAAAAAGCAAAATACTTCAAGACAATGACGCTAAAAACTTGATGGGGGCTGTAGAGTGAACTTTCGAATTATATAAACTCTAGGACTCCCCTAAACAATGTTTATATTTTCTTTAATTTAAATAATAACAAACAACACTTAATATATGCATTTACGAGCCAAATCAAGTAATAAATTATTAGAGTAAAAGGTCAAACACATGAGGATGTATTGTTTACTTACAATAAACTACTACTATTTACTCTAATTACAATAATTATCATACAAAAATAAAAATGTTATTTTTAAAGATTCTATCACTAAAAAAAATAGTAAACATATTTAATATAATATTTAATTAAATTATTTTTTATTTATGACTATAAATTGTATATCATTCATAATGAGATTCTTCGCGATAATATGATTCAGAGCATACGCATCCCTAGATATCTATCGAACTTATAGGAGTAAAAAGAATATATGCTGACCTCCTATAGTTATAATTTCTTTTAAAACTTATAATATTTTACATCTTATGTCTAGGCATACAAAATATCATATTCCAATATTCCTATTTGTTCTTCCATACTTCCTTTGAGTCTATACAACACAATAAGTTTTAACTACACATATAACCACTATTTCATTAAAAAAAAAGTGAGATAATATTGAAAATATCTTTTAATAGTTTATATAACAAGAATTTTCATTAGTACTCAACATCCATTTTATGACATCAATCCAAAATAAGAGAATTAGCTAGACATGAAATGAATAACAAGTAAACTCATTTTAATTAAACTCATGGAAGAATTAAAAATATAATAGTGTGATATCACCAAGACAAATCAAAGTATTTCATAAACACTTCTCACTTTAACTTACAGAGTTGCTTCAAGAAATATAGGCTAAACACTCTAAATAATTATATCTTGTAATTCATAGCATCCCTTAAATTTTACTCTAAGAGGGAACTAGAAAAGTACTCTAAAACATACTAAAAATACACAAGTACTAAAATCTCTTACAAACATAACACAATATCTATTTATTGAAAAACATAAAAATGGAATCCAGTGTTGCGATGCTTGAAATAATGGCACAGCCGCGCCCAGTGAACTAGCACCTCGGTGGTAAAGCTTTTGCACCACCGTGGCGCTTGCTGATGAAGATCAGTTACATAGTGAATAGTCACCTCTCTTCACTTAAAGAACTCGTCCCATGGAAGTTAGAACTGCAACGCCATGGTGCTATGGACATTGAAATGTTAAAACACCCAAAGTGCAAAAAATGGTGTCATGATGTGAGAAATTGTGGCACCGCAACATTTGAAAACAAAGAATCAGATGCTGCTAAGCTGACTTTCTGGCTCCGCAACGCTGTCTGTGTTACCATCGTAGCGCTTGCAAACAAGGAACTCGACGCCACCATGTCAAAATTTGAGCGCAGTATTGAAGGTAGCACATCGGTGTTGTATCATTCGATGCTGCAATGCTAAGAGCTCCTTAAAATTTCTACCAATTTTTATTTTTTCCTTCACATAAATAAGTAAAACAATTCAATTTCACTGAAAATAAAATCTAAAAATAAGCCTTTGTTCAGACACATTTTGAAACACGGGCGACAGGTTTCTCATTTAAAACGAATAGTAACAAATTATGGTTAGAGACACTCAAGAACTTCATTTTGCATAAATAGTATATTCCATATTGAGTTTAAGAAAATTATATCCAATTGTTCCTATATTCTTCTATTAATTAAGATAAAAAATCTTGAATTTTGCATTCTAAATTTACTTTTGACAGCTAAATTTTAAGTTGTTCTAAAGGTAATTTATGCGTAATTTTTTTTTTCTATTAGACTGCCTATAATGAGGGATCTAACATTCTAAAGTACATTTTAAGTGCATAAATTTTATCCTCAACTAAAGGATTTACAAAGATGTTGGCAAGTTAGAGATATGTGTAGATAAATTACATGACTGTCATCACCTCGGACTGCACGATCTCCAATGTTCATTGATGATGAATCTCTATTTGCTTTAATCTCGAGTACGAAAGTAAAATTTATCACCTTTAATTACACAAATGAATATAATCTAATTTCATTTAATGGCCCTCAAATTTTTGCCGATAACTTCATAACACGACTACTTATAGTAAAATACTTGACCTCCGTAGTGTAAAGGGTAATTAAACTGTGCTTCATATTAGACAAAGATACGTGTAAATAACACAAACTTCACTAATACTCTTTTCGTCTCATTTAAAAATTTATTTTCATGCCAACTGATTTCTACTGAAAGAATGTAGTAATAATGTTAGAAATCATAAGTAGGTAAATAAGGGTAAATGGTTATACAAATAAGAAATAAAATCTGAGGTAGGTTTCAATTAAAATTAAGCTTAGAAGTTTAAAGTCCCTCAAACGGGCCATGCAATCCAACATATTGACCTTTCGCATACTAAAATAGCCCCAACTTTAATTGATTTCACAAATTGATGTTGAATTGAAGTTGAAATATCAAAGGAGAGTTGTGGATCTTCTTATTTTGATTTGCTCATGGTGCCAGGCAACCACCTTCTTATACGCAAGGTCACCTCCAAAGATGTCTAAAGCACTTCCTACAGAGACATCCACACGCCCCATTCCTGCAATCTTAATCTTCTCCAAATCTTCCATTGTTGTCACACCACCAGCGTAAGTTACTGGGATCTGCATATAGTTTAAACATTACTGATACTTTTTTTTTTTTTTTGAACTTCAAACATTACTGATACTTACAGCATCCTTAAAGTAAATACCTATCACGACGGGTATAGATATTAAAATTATCAAATAAGCATTTTCTTCCAAAAGCCATACATCTATTATAAGCGATCCAATCAACACGACCAATACCATGACCCCAATCTAGAATGTCATAGCTGAATATTGGAAGAAAGAGGGAAAATTGCTGAAAAAATTAAGTAATAAAAATATTTGCCAAGATCAGGAACATTATTCTGGGTTCAAAAACCTCTTATTTTTGAAACATGATTCCCAAGGAATTTTATTAAAATAGATAAAAAAATTAATGGTATGATTTTAAGTATATATATATATATATATATATATACAGAGAGAGAGAGAGAGAGAGAGAGAGAGAGAGAGAGAGAGAGAGAGCATATGTGTCTGCACAGCAGGGCGGTCTCTAGGTGTTGGTATTCTATATTACTACATATGATATTGTTCCCTCTAATAAAAAGAATGGACCCAACAATGTGAATACAAGCAAAACATTTTCAGGATATTTAAGAAGCAATGAGAATGAGAAAATACCGCAAAATAGTACGATGATACATACAGGTGAAAAGCGCCCAAGCAATGTCACAAGTTCCTCGTCAATTCCAAGCCTGAAAAAAGAAAATAAAAAAATAGAAAAAAAAACGACAATTACAAATTCCACAAGGCGTAACTCCATTCATGTGCATTATTACCAAAAGATGATGACATGTTTTAAACATTTGTCGTAACTTAAGCGGTTAAGCTGTTACAAGACAAAGTCAACCCGTCACCGTGATGTCTTTAACGAAACTTGTGTACTAATAGAAGTGACAATAGATACAGCTTTTTACAATTCAAACAGCATACAGGTAACAAGTTCATGTATACCTCTTCATTAAGCTCGTCATTGAGAAAGACATTAATCACATTTTTTTTTAAGCATGTCTATATTAAAGACATTAATCACATTATTGACACCCACATGCTGTAATTCCCAATCAAGATAGATTGCAGAAGATAACAAGGCGTTTTATGGTGTTTAATTTAACCACCAAGACAAACATTGCTGTATAATATACTCTAACAGTCCGAGTGAAGCCTTTGACAACTAAACGGCCTTGCAATTTTTTATTCTGCTATTAAACTAACATTAAATTATATAAAACTCATTTACAAATGTCCTTCCTCAAAAGAATAAAACCATATACCACAAACAAAATTATTTTTGAAGTTGTCATCTCCTCTAGTACTACAACTCTCCAATTGGGATCGCATAGAGCTTTTTTAATTTTTTTGTAATTGCCACTTTTTCTGCATTTTCAATCAAAACTTGCCGCGCTCATGACAATCTTTTGATATGATAAATAGCAAGACATGCTGCTCATGTACATATTCTAGCCCTTCACAATACATGAGCAATCAATTTCATTACCTTTTCTTAGCATAATTACATCCAGATTCAACTCTTAATTGTGCTTGTGGTGTGTAAGTTTGGGTTCAATAGATGTTTCAACCTCATTTTATTGAGGGGCGGAGCATATATGATGAGGGTTCAATGGTGGGCTTTCAATCCCTAATGTGATAAATTGGTAGATGAGAGACTCTTCTAATATAATTAAAAGAGTTAAGATTAAATTTTAAAAGAGTTATTTTGAAGGTGGATGAAATTAGTGTTGCAAATCTAGACCTAAATCCTGTGATTTTTATGATAACAAACATTATTGTACTCCTTACTATGCTATCTCCTGTTAATTGCTATTATTGCATATATGCTTTTATTGTGCACTAGCATTTCAGGTCCACCGTACATTATCATCTCAAGACTCGATAGAATAGAGTTAAAGTATCTAGAAAAGTTCATAATTTTACTTTTTCTTTTTTCTACATTTCTCGAGTCAAAATTATGTATTTGGTGGATACTATGCTTGGTGACCATGCATAGACATACTCAAGGGAGTGAGTGGCAAAATTAGAAGTTGAATTTTCTAAACTAATCGTATTGTACGATCCATATCGTATTATATGATCAACTAATCAGAAAATCATTAAAACAACTAATTGTGACAATTAAATACTTTGAACTAATCGTACTAGATGATTTACATCGTACAGGACAATCAGTTGAAATCAAGATACTAGCCGGCAATCACAATTTAGGCAATATTTTAAATTTTAAAATTTGAACTAATCGTATTGTATGATAGGTATCGTATTGTACGATGCAATTAAATCTTATAATTAGGGATACAATTTTGGTTAATCTGTCCAATCAAATCGTACTGAAGGATTCAATTCAATCGTATAGTACGACCAGATCAATGCATAGGACGATAATTTATCATCGCCAATCGTACAGGATGAAAAACTAAGTCGTTACAACTAATCGTACTGGACGATTAGTGCAATACATTGAACTGATCGTACAATGCTTCACAAGTCGTACAACACTAATATCATGATTTGAACTAATCGTACTGTATGATCTTGAATCATATTATACAATCAGAGTCACCATAATTGAATTCTAGAGCTTTTTTGTCAAGCCTTGTATTTAATCTCTCAATAGACTTATGTAATGTTCTTTTGGTTGCTGAGTGTTCTTGAGAGAGAGCTTGGATACGAAGAAAGGGAGAGCTTATGTGTAATGGAGAAGTAGTGTAAGGGTTCACACGGTTGCTCCAAGCAAGTGTTTTTCCTTATTTCCTCCAAGTGTTTGTCTAGGTTTCTTGGGTGGCTCTGGAAAAATGTTCTTCTACTAAAGGATGTGATTCTTTGCCATCACCAGGACAGTGAGAAAGGAGGTCGTGATTCTCTGTCATCACCAGGATGGTGAGAAAGGAGGTCGTGATTCTCTGTCATCACTAGGAGTGTGAAAAATGATTCTAGGCTCTCTATCTTCTCTAAGAGGGAGAAAAATGATTGAAGATACCCTACTGTTACCGGGAGGGTGACAAAGTTTTTAGTTCTCTGCCACATCGGGTTTGGTGGAAGGGATTTGTGTAAAGGCTTCTCCGCCTTACAATGGGGGCAAAAAGAGAGACTATATTGATAGTGCAATACTCGGAGAGGACGACCTTGAGAAGTGGATGTACGTTAAGGTTGATCTAACCACTATAAATCTCTAGTGTGTTTGTTCTAATTTTCTACTTTCACAATTTACTTTTTCTGCACTTTATTTATGTGATAACTGCTTGGGGAAAATCGTTGATTAATGCTTCGTTTTGTTGATTAGAATATCATCATCGTCGGATTAATATTTGATAAAATTAAGCGCTTCTACAACAAGTAAAAGTTGCCATTTTTAATAATTGAAAAATCCAAAAATAATCAATTTATTTTTTGAGCAAACAATATTTTATGTTCATCAACTCACCCTCCTATTGGTGTGCCTAAGGAAAAATTCACTTAGGCTTAACATCCTTATCAAACTTTCAATTAGTATGAGAGATGTACTCAGAAATAATGTTTTAGAAAACCTAGAGGAAAATGATCAATAACACATTTCAGAAAAGAAATACCGTAGAAGATCACTTTATTTCTCGTCCGCCATTATTTGAAAATATTCCGTTTGATTTTTGAAAAAAATATGCATGTCTACGTTTTTCAATCTATTGATTTCAGGATTTGGCATATGGTTCAATCTGACTATTCTATATTGACACATTATTAATAGTGTAAAAATTGATATACCTTATATTGAATAGAGTCATGAGGATAAAGAATTTGCTTAGTTAAATGCTAAATGTCGAAATTATTTTTTCTCTGCTTTGAAATCTGATGACTATATGCGAGTATCTACTTGTACTATGAGAAAAGAAATATGTGGTAGACTATGCATTACATATGAGTGAACTAGTGAAGTAAAACATTCTAGATTAAACACTTGAGAACGGACTGCCCCAACCTAAAAGCTCCGGATCAAAGAAAAAGGTGAAGAGAAGACAATTAAAAAAAGTCAAGCTACGAACTCAAAAGGCATTTTGAGCAGACTTCGCTTCAGATTCATCAAAAATAAATATAGAAGAGGTAACCAATATGTTCATTATAGAAAAAGTAACATTAAAAATTCTGATCGAGGGATGCTCTCACAAAAGTCCTAGTGAGAGCATGTAGTACTTGGACAGCAGATGCTCAAGACACATGATTGGAGACATAAAGCAATACATCACGTTGGATGCCAGAATAGGAGGCAAGGTAATACTTGGAGATAATACCACTAAAAAAGTGATAGGCACATATATGATTGGTAATTACAAAAATTTCATTATTTAAAATGTTTTACTAGTAGATGGCTTGAAAAATAATCTGCTTAATATTAGCCAACTGTGTGACAAATGTTTTCACATTAAATTTTTATCTGTTAGTTGTATGATTAGTTTGAATGAAAATACCATTTTAGAAGGGAAGAGAGTTAACAATGTTACATGCTTGATTTGAACTATATTGAATCTACTAATTCTCTTTTTTTGAAAACAATTGCTGATGAATCCTAACTATGGCATAGGAGACTATGCCATGCAAGCATGAAAAATCTTAAGAAAATAATCCAAAAAGACCTAGTTAGAGGCATACCCAAACTAAACTTTTCAAAATACCACATATGTGATGCTTGCCAACTAAGAAAATAAATCAAAACTTCTTTCCACTCAATTAAGGATGTTTTCACCTGTAAACCATAAGAATTCATTCACATGGATTTATTTGGATCGGTTAACACTACTAGCTTAGCAGGACAGTATATGGATATGTGATTGTTTATGATTACTCGAAGTTTACATGATTAGATTTTTATCATATAAGAGTAAATCATTTAAGGAGTTTAAAAGATTCTCCACATAGGAGTGAATCATTCGAGGAGTTTAGAATTCCTCTAGGGAATGTATAGTATCTTAGGTAGATCATCTATCTACTAGCAATCCTGCGTAATTTGCACTAGTATATGCTTCTGGGATTATTCCATAGTCTCTTCTGAAGAGAATTCCTTTACTTAGATTCACTTTAAGGTAGTGCAATATTCTGTCTATAGCTTGCATATGAGTTTGTTTTGGATTTTGTATAAATTGGCTAACCATGCTTACAACAAAAACTATATCTGGCCTAGTATGAAAAAGACATCAATTTCCCATAAGCCCCTCCTAAGCTGCATTATCGACGTTTGGATCGCTTTAGCTTCCCCCAATTTGAGATTTGGTTATATTAGTGTTGGTACTGATTTACAAACAAGTTTATATGTTTCTTTAAGAAGATCATTAAAGTATTTCTATTGCGAAATGAAGATTCCTTTGCTGGAGTAGAATGCTTCAATTCTAAAAAAATATTTTAGAATTGAAATATTTTAATCTATCAAGTTCTTTGATCTCAAATTCCTTGTTATACATAATACCTTTATCCTAATTACCCTAACTTTGATTTCAGGTTTTGGTGGAGCTGGATGAACAAGAGAGTCAAGCTCACTTTCATCATCTTCCTCAATTTCAGTCTCCCTCTGAAGAAGAGGTTTGGTGAAATCATAGTTTAAAATTGCGCAATTAGAGACGCGCCTCTGCGCAATTTAGCCCCCAAGAGCCTCACTGCCTAAGCAATTTTGGGTCCAAATAAGGCTTACGCCTCACAGTCATTGAGACGCGTC